CTGCACCTAGGACACCCGAACAAAACGATTTGGCTGAAAGGAAAAATAGAACCTTAGTAGAAATGATTAATGACGTGCTTATATATGCTAAGTTGCCGTTTAATTTATGGGGTGAAGCTTTATTAAGTGTTTGTAGGATACTTAATAGGATTCCTTCTAAACATACAAAGGTTTCTCCTTATGAATTGTGGAAAGGAGAAAAAGCGAACATTGGATACTTCAAAGTGTGGCCGTGTCTTGCTTATTGCAAAAACACAAATTCTAATAGGACCAAATTAGGTCTAAGAGGCATTAAATGTGCTTTTGTTGGATATGCTAATAATAGCAAATCTTATATATTGCTAAACTTAGAGACCAATGTGATTATCGAATCAAGTAATGTAGAGTTCTTTGAAGATTTGTTATCATTGGATAATGAATTAAAGGAAAATATTGAAAACATCCCTAGCTCAAATGGAACACGTGATGAAATGTCTTCTAAAGATGTTGATGAGTCTAGTGAACCACGAAGAAGCAAGAGAACTCGAGTTGAGAAGTCTTTGGGACCGGATGAAATTGATTTTCAACTTATCTCCTTTTACTTAGTTGAAGGAAATGAGTTGAATGTTGTAAGAACAATTCCTTTTGTTCTACAAGTGAAAACCAACCCTAAAACCTATAAAGAAGTTATGACTTCTCGTGATAGCATTTTTTTAAAAAGATGCAATTAAAGATGAAATGGATTCGATAATGTCTAATAAAACTTGGGAACATGTCGATCTACCACCGGAATCCAAACCTATTGGATGTAAATGGGTATTTAGGAGGAAATATAATATTGATGGCTCTTTAAATACTTTCAAAACTAGATTAGTAGTTAAAGGATATCGACAAAAGGAAGGAATCGATTATTTTGACACTTATGCACCGGTAGCGAGAATAACATCAATTAGGATATTATTCGCATTGGCCTCAATATACGACTTACATATTCATCAAATGAATGTCAAGACGGCATTCTTAAATGGTGATCTCGATGATGAGGTCTATATGGAGCAACCCGAAAGGTTCGTTCTACCTGAAAATGAACATAAGATATGCAAATTAGTAAAATCCTTATATGGTTTGAAGTAGGCACCAAAGAAATGGCATGAGAAGTTTGACTTAGCTATAACATCATTCAGATTTAAACATATTAGCGTAGATAGATGTTTATATTCTAAAGTGTATCATGATTATGTGACATTTATATGTTTATATCTTGACGACATATTAATTATGAGTAATCACATGGACGGTATAGAAAAAAACAAAGAGGTTTCTATCTTCCACATTCAAGATGAAAGATCTTGGTCAAGTGGATATCGTTTTAGGTATCAAAGTCACAAACACTAGTGGGGATTATCACCTAAATCAATCACATTTTATTGAGAATGTGATAAACAAGTTCAAACATTTGAACATAAAAGAATATAGTACCCCAATTGATCCAAATTCAAAACTTGTAAATAATGATGAAAGGGAGATTGCTCAATTGGAATATGCTAGTGCTATTGGAAGTCTTATGCATGCAGTTCAGTGCACAAAATCGGATATAGCAATATGCTATTAGTAAACTTAGTAAGTTTACTAGCAATCCAAGCAAAAGTCATTGGAGGGCCATTGAGAGAGTTCTTGGATATTTAAAAAAAACTAAGAACTCAGGCCTGCAATATACTAAATTCCCAACAATATTGAAAGAATTTACCGATGCTAGTTGGATATCTAGCACGGGTGAAAGTAAATCCATCTCAGGTTGGGTGTTCACTCAAGAAGGAGGTGCTGTTTCTTGGAAATCAAAAAAACAAACATGCATAACACATTCGACCATGGAATCTGAATTTGTAGCCCTATCGAATATCGGGAAAGAGGTTGAGTGACTTAAGGATCTCTTTTATGAGATACCTTTAGGATCGAAGAATATTTCTTCAATACCTATCATATGTGATAGTCAAGCCTCATTAGCAAAAACATACAACGAGGTATACAACGAAAAGTCTAGATACATGATCTTAGACATGACTATATAAAGAAGTTAATTAAGGATGGAATAATTTTCCTAAATTATGTAAGGTCAATTGAGAATTTGACAGATCATTTGACTAAACCTCTAAACAGAGATTTAGTAGCATCTACTTCGAATAGGATGGGGTTGAATCTCCTTAACTAAAAAAGTTCACCAATGACAGCGACCCTACCTGTCATTACTCAAAAAATAATTTACGGGTTCAAAGGGTAACGACAAGTCATTCGATATGTGAATAGTTGCAGCATTATTAAATCCGCAATAATCCTATCCTAATTAAATTAATGCTGGTTGTTACTGAAATAAGGGATGAGTTTTAAGCTCTTAATGGAGTTCAGTTCTAAAACACAAGTATCTCTAAAGGTAACAAATGTACTGGAAGAACTTCACCTAAACAATCTTCAAGGTGGTGCCGTCTTAATAGAGTGTTGGAGTTTCTCTCTTAAAAGATTGTTGAAATGGATAAGCGCAAGGTCATAAAAGTGTTAAGCGAGTTATGAGGAACTTGAGAACACGTGGTACTCGTGTGTGTGTTCTTACCGGTATTGTCATATGAAATAACCGGTTCAAAGCTACACGCTACCTTTGATTCCAACTATACTTTATTTGAATTACACTAAGGTTAGACTCAAATCGAAAGATATCTAATCTTTATGCAAGAATATTGTATATTGTGAATATGAGACTTGTTAATTTTAAACCAGTGGAGGATTGCTGTGATAATGTTGTTCAAAATTAATAAAAAAAAAAAAATTGGTCCATGTGACCGCATGGCCTTTTGCCAAGACCAAATGGTCTCGGCATGGGCAAACCATGCGACTGCATGGGTTTGTACCATGCGGTCGCATGATACAATTATTTGGTCATTGGATGTCATTTTCTCTCGTTGCAAATTTAAATTTGGTGACTTTTGGGTTAAAGTTTGGTACCATGTTGAAGGCAAAAACATTACAAAAAAATCAAGGTTCCATATTACGTTCAAAATCAAAGATCAAAGTCTTTAAAAGCCATATTCATATTCATTCTTTGAGTTCTTCAAGTTTTATAGGATTTGCACTTGTGCTTTGGTGCTTAAATCCTTGCAAGACTTGTTATAATCCTGCAAACCGTTTGCCAATAACCTTCGAAGCATCTCAAATTCATAGGAGAAGTGGCAAATATCGTTTGAGGACAACGATATCGTGTTCAAGTCATTCATTTATACAAGTTTATGATTATTTTGTTACTGGCGTTTCCTATTCATATTTTGTGATCTCTATTCAGGTGAATTTTTTCCAACAGGTACTACTACAGAAGTGACAATTTAATGGGAATATCCTAGTGCATCTACCATCAACCGCTTCAAACAAATTGAGATTTAATCATCAGTGTTATACTAAATTATTCCAAGGTGGTCAGTAATTTGATGTCAGGACTGTGCGTTCGCACCTATTTTATAGCAAAATGATATATTCAATTTCCAGTTCTGACCAACAATTCTTATTTATTATTATTATTTTTTTTTTAAAATTCAACTAGGCAGACAGACTATAGACAGTACCCTTATCGAACATCGTCGAGAAGGTATATACCATTGCTTGTATCCCAACTTGAAGTATAGCTTCAGTTATAGAGAACTTTGATCAAGATTGAGTATTTTTGAATATCTTTTTGCGATAATCTAATAAATTTACTCAGACACATCGCATTTTTGGATGTATGCGTGGAATTAAGGGATACCATTTGATGATATCATCAAACTAGAATGTTAAAAATGTATTTTGTAATAGTATATTGATGAGAAATATGTGGTTAAAAAATAAAGAAAGATTTTGGATTTACGTGTAATATTATTTTATTGAGAATGTGTGATTGAAATGATGTCAAATCACTATTTAAAAATGTTTCTTTTTTTTTTTTTAAATGTGGCTGAAACATAGCCATAGTACCATTAATTTAGTTAAGGACAAAGAGCTTCCCCTTGAATTCATGAGATCAATACTTCAGTATCTCGACATAGTACAAGAAAAATAAAGTAAAGTTTATGTATTATTTATGGACAATCATTAAGGAGAATTGACTTGATGACATCCTCGAAAAAGGATGGGAAACGGAAAAGTCGCCAAAACCTTTCTTCTTTGCCTGTGGATTAACTTTGAGAAATTCTTCCATTCTACGTTCATCTTGGGCAGATATTCGTAGCATCCGTCCCACCTGAGACTATATCAAAATGTTACGTTATCCAAAAAGCCGTTCTTGGGTTTTAAATTACGAATTTGTGCTTTCATGAACTAGAAATTTAGATGATGATGAAATTAGGGTTTAACTGAAACCCGACTTTTGGAGTTTGTTTTTGTTTCATCAAATTGAGCGATTAAAATCTTCTGAAAATCAAAGTGTGTAACATTGAGTATGGACATTGTAGATTTTGAAGTAAATTTCGTTTTCTCTAAGTGACAAAATTTTTTAAGTCATTTCTTGTACTTTTTTCTCCATAAATACTCACAAAACTCTACATCTCAAAGTTCACTGCATGAGCTATTGAGCTTAATTTGTTTCCAAAATGTCCAGCCTGTATTCAAACTCTGCGCAAAACCAGTGATTGTGGGCTTCAAATTTTGGTGTTTGAAATTCCAGAGTACAGGAAAACAAAGAATTGGCCTTGCATAAAAATGAGTTGTACATAAGAAGTTGTAATTTTTCTGGTGTAAAGTGGCAGAATTGGCCGACAGCTCTGTGCACGTGCCTTGGAGTGAATTTTCAGTCCTTGTAATTTTACTTTGAACATTTCATGTAATAAGCTTGGATGGATTAGAAATATTCTGCAATTTGTTTGTGAATTTATAAGATGAATTAATATTTGTAAAAATTCATTGAAAACATCTAGCAAATCTGAAATTTTCCAAAATATATATATATTTCCTTCTTTTTCTCATACAACCAGATTTATCAAGGAAAAATAAATAAATTATGGAGTGAAAATATTCAGTAAGTACATAAAAGGAATGAATAAAATAAACTAGCCAGTCTACCATAACTCAAGAAATTCATCAAAAACGGGTCCTACCATCGTTTCTATATCCATATCAGAACAAATCACATGCCCTTGATCGTGAAATGCTGATGAAATATCAGTGAACTGCCCAAAACATGATTCAAATGTCGTCAGATCAGGCGATATGAAGTAATCAGATTGTGATGATGATTTGTCTTGATGCAAATTTTTAAACATTTCCTCAGTTTCTTGCGGAATTATGGGCCATGTTGGAATCACCTTGCCATTAGGTTTATAGTTCTGTTCAGGAGAGTCGAAGCTCCAGATGATGGAAGAGTCTTTTGTAGTGCTATCCGTAATAATTTGAGATTCTTCAAATAAATTCTTCTTACATGTGTGGTGCTCGTGGTATGTTGTCCTATATAATGCTGGCTCATCTTGAATTTTTTGGACCAGTTTTCTTGCTTGGCATCCTTGATCATACTTGTAGGTGCACCTCAAGTAGCTCCTGCAAGTAATTAATCTAAAATGAGCGGATAGTCCACATACAAAATGTTAATAATTTAAATTTAATGTAATGTCATCTAAAAGTTAAATTGTTGTAACAGAACATTTAATTTTAACATGTCTTCTTGCGTGCAATTCAAACTTATATATGTGAAGTGTACATAAAATTTTAATGATCATACATACTTTTCATCTACATATTCCACAGGACACTACTTGTTATCCACTTAGTATTGATACATTTCTTAAAACTCACATTCATAAGCACTTTAAATAAAATAATATTATTCATCTAGAGTTTAAATGATCTTTGATTTATTTGGCAGCAAGCCACTTTCACATTTTTCTATGAAGTTGGAATGCATTTTTATACGTTGAACAACGTGACCGTTGGACCAGTACTTAGATCAATGGTGATTTAGGAGCCCATTTCAATTTTTGATGCATAACTTTTTTTTTTTTTAATAAAATTTATGTGGAATTTTTGAACTTTTTAAAAAACATTTATGTGAATTTTTCCCCACATATTAGCCCGAACTAAAAATAAAATTTTAGTTGGTCTTGCATCACCCCTTTCAATCATTTTCGATCAGTGTAGCATGATTGTAACCTAATAGAGTCTTAAAAACACTACCAAACAAGCATGAAAGTAATGTTTTCTCCGTGCTAACATTATTACCTTGGATGTTTGGCATTTTGGATACTTTTTTGCCCATATTTCCTCCATGCATGACCATCTTCAAACGAAGCAGCAACGATCTCTTTTGCCCTTTTCTCCGAAGTTCTCCTGCGTTTCGAAATTTTTATGAACTCTGAAGTGTTGGTATGCTTCCCGGAATCTTCCGACTTTTGTCCATCAGAATGCGACGAAACCATCACCGGAACAATAGAGACCTCATTGGACTCGTTACAATTTAGAATTGAAAGACCATTGTCAAATGAATCCAAGATCTTGTCCACCAGGCTTTGAGCAGATTGCTTTGATGTACACCTTTTATCCTTCTGGGTTTTACGCAACATAACTCGAAGCATGTTAGTGGATTCCTGACCCAGATTCAACTCTTCGAGTAGCCTTTTCCTAACAGTGGATATGGTACTTGAAGGGAAACAAGACTTCATTACAGTGTATTTCTGTGTGTAGTTTCTTTCGTGTCCATTACAGCTATGTTACCCGTTAATTATATAGTCGAAGAAATGGTGGGGGCCGGGGGTTTTTGGAGTTCTATGAAGGTTACATGCAATGAATCTTGAAATAAAATAAATGCTTAAATCACTAATGGAGATATTGAAGAGATATTGTTTAGTAAATTTTTCTCGAGATCCGAAATTCCGTACCCCCGTGTTATAAATTGGAAAAATTACAGATGGCGCCCTCAATTTTTTGAAACTATAGCAAGTAGATCACTGCCTAATATTTATGGTGTTGAGATCTACTGTTCAATTAATTATTAACACATCATTTTAAATTAACATGTCATTAATTTGGTGTGTTAGGGTGAAATTAATGAAGGTGAATTTGAGATGATATGTTAATTTTAAATAACGTGTCAATAATGAATTGGATGGATAATAGATCTCAACTCATATTTTGGTAAACTCAAAACCAAACGTTTTATTTTGTAATATTTAAATCTGGTTATGTTAAGAAGCTCATATTTATGTTATGAGACTACTCTTCTGTTTAAACAAAAAGATAAATAAATAGAAAAAAGTATAAAAATAAAATGTAAAGAAAAACTCATCCCAACCTCAGTTGAATTGAGGAGGGATCCTCTTAATCATCATATCGTAAAGCTTTCAACTCAAGAAGGCTACGGAGGAAATCCTTACATGAGCTATAGTTCTTTGAGTTAGCTCCTTTTCTCTGAGAGCTACTGAGTCTTGAAAGCTAAAGAGTTAATACCTTCTTTTTTATTTCCTTAGGTCCTTTACAGTAGTAACTCTTTCAAGCCCTTTCAAAGCATGAATTCGAGTACTAAACTGAAAAATTGAGGACTGCAATTGTAAAAATAATAGAGTGAGGACTTGGTGACGCAAACTTCAAAATCATTTTTTCATTCATTTTTATTCAATTTAGTGAAACAAAAACTTGGGCACACACTTTTCAATGCTCATTAAAATTTCCTTTCCATCAACAAGTCACACAAATTATCACTGTGTACGTCATCCCAAGTGCCACCAACTCCCAATTGAGGGATGTTTGAACCACATTATTTTGATAATAATGTATTCTTGAATAATGTATTGATGGGAAATATGTGGTTAAAAAAATAAGGAATAGTTTTTGATCCGCATGTAACATTATTTTATTGAAGAATGTGTGGTTGAAATGATGTCAAATCACTATTTAAAAATGTATTTTTTTGAAATAATGTGGCTCAAACAGGCATTGAATATGGATAATGCGGAATTCACTTGGCTACGATTTTCAATTAATTGTTATTTCCTCTCTTTTTTCTTTCTCTTTATTTAATTTCACTCTAAACCCAATAAACTTAAATACAGGTTACTCCTGGTAAGATTACTTCTAATAAGGTTTCACTTTTATCCCTTCAGCTAAATTATCTTTTATGCTTGTACTCGAAAGATATAACCTTTGTTATGGAATTATTTTGTTATTTTAATACAAATAGACCAAAAGTTTTTAAGGTTTTATTCAGAAGAAGAAATAGGGTTCATTGTTCTATGATTTGTTTGATATTAATTTTGTGAATAGTTGATATTAAAAAGAATTCGAGTATTCGTAGGATAATAGTCATTAATTACACATTTATGTTAGTGTTTCTTCTATTGTATCATTACAATGAATATATATATATATATATATATATATCATGAAATTAATTATTGCATCCACAATGTTTTAACTAAAAATATTCACCCACTATACTTTTCTTAAGCAATATTATCTTATTTTAGTAGTCGGATGAGTTAGTCAAGTTGAAGTCTTCCTCAAGCATTTAACCATTGAGAAACATATTAACGTGTAATAAAAGTCTCATTTTTTTTTTTTTTTTTTTACATACATGATAGGATACTAGGATGTAAGACGAGTCATCATGATCTAAAATTTTTCATGTGGATGCAATCCACGTGTCTATTTAATGGAAGGAATTAATAGCTTGAAATAGAAGGAATCAGCTTCACAAGAAAATGTTGAAATGAGCTTGTAAATGTCAAGTTTGAAATGATAAGGATGATTTACGCAATGAGTGCAAACAACAGATATATTTTGTGTTAATTACCTTTTATTAATCTACGATGACCTTTTCTTCTTTTGCGACTATTTTTCCTTAAAAAGTTAAATAGATATCTGTGGTTTGTTGGAACAAATTTTAGTTGAATAACTATTTCTTTATTGCCCTCATTGTACAACTTCAATATAAATGAAAATTTTGTATGAAATTTTTTTTTTTTTAGAAATAAGAATAAATTGTTAAGAAGTATTTTCATATGACGACAATAATAAATATATTTAAATATTAGATACCTAGTTTAGAACAAAAGTTGAGATGCAATAATGATGCATGGACATCTAAACAACATTATTCTACAATAATCGGGATGAAACCGATGAATACAGTATTTGTTCACACCTATTATATAGAAAAAAATAGGAAGTCGAATTCTGGTTCACATTTTGGAGAAATGCACTGTTCACACTACGTGGCTAAGGTTGTCTTCTAGTGGAACAGGGACACTTCCCTAGTAAGACAACGTCATTGTCAAAGGTCTTATTCGTGCTCCGATGAAAATTGAATGTAGTCCTTGTTTGACGTTCATTAAATTTCATTACATTACATTTTATTTTTATTTATCCTATTTTCAATCACACAATATTTCACAAAATAATATTACACGTGAATCGAAAAATTTTCTTTTTTTTTTCAATCACTCATTTTTCAAAAAAATACTACTCCACCCATTTTCATTTCCAGAATGAGGGCCAAACGGGGGCGCAGTGAACTAAAATGATCTAAGATCCATATTGTTGGGAAAGTTCAAAAATATGCCAATGTAATATTTTGATAACAATGTTAAGAAGGAAAATTGGTGGCGAAAATTTCCCAAATCTTGTGATATAGAATGTGCAAGGGGAAAAAAATGCCAAATTTTGATAGGAATGGATAATTGAAAGTTTCCAATAAGGCATGTTATAATCACCTGAATTTCGAAGAAAAATTATGTCAAAATTCAGTTAAATACTTCTATATATTGATGTGAGTTTCTGTTTATTTGGCACGTGACTTAAGGGTTTTGAGAGGAAAAATTGTAAAACAAGCATTCTAGTTTTTCTTTTTCTCTTTGTAAATTTTCAAAGAGTAGAAATTGGTGGTTGTGGTAAAGTTTACAATATTTTTCCTACAATATTTGAAAGATTTGGTGAGTGAAAATTTCTTTACAATTATAATAATTTTTCAAATAGTAAAAGGTTTTAACAGTCTTAGTTTTTCTTAAATCCCAATAGTGATAGCAGAGCATTAAGCAGGGTTGGACATGATTCGAACCTGAATTTTGGATATTTAATAAGTGGAATCGTCGTGTCCACATTTAATTATGGATTCCGTTCGATTCCTACATTAATTAAACTTTTAAATATTTACAACGCTACATTAATTCAACTAATAAGATATTCAATCCTAGATCTTACAAAATAATGTAATCCAATTCTGTGATATCTTTTGCGTCTCTCTTTATTGAGTTTTTCATAGATTTGACTATTAAATTTCTCTTTCGATAGCGAGTTCACAATAATAAAGAGATGAGCAGTTGAGCTTTCAATTAAATTTATCCATAACTATAGAAACTACACTACAGTAAAATGAGAAATTTGAATAAAACTTAGGTCAATTTAATTACGTTGGACTTGCGATGAAAATTAGAAATAGGAAAATCACATTTTGGGTTTGAGCTTTATTAATTAGTTAACAAATTTTAAAAAAATAAAATAATTTGACTTATTTAATATAAAAAATTAAAAAATTAGGAAGGTTCAGTTCTTGGTCTAAAATTGAGAACCGAACCGAATCCATCGATTCTCGATTCCAATACTCATTCGGTATTTAATTTAAAAAGAATAGCTCGATTCGGGGGTTCAATTCGATCCAGTTCGAAAGTAGTGTCCAACCCTAACAATAAGTCGTTCTGAGTATTAGAGAACATAAAAAATATGAAGATGCTGGAAAAATTAATTCTGGCTTGAAACAAAAACAAATCAAGGGTGTATTGATTCAATTTGGATTGCAGGTGACTTTGAAAGGAAGACCAAGCTGACCAAGCGTGGATAACCTGATCGCGTCAAGAAAACCTATCCAAAAGATGGAGCAGGTTCAGATAATTGCTCGCTATCATATGCAAATATCATGTCTCTCTTCATGAAAGATAATGGTGTCGCTTGAGTAGGATATTTACATTCTTATGGCAGGTCTATAGTTACTATGATAGATTATATGTTACTACTAGGGGCAAAAGTTTGCTCACGGGAATTGTATTGACATGTGTGTGGTGGAATTGATGTCGATGATTAAAGAGATCCTAAAAAAGTCGAGCAAGGAGTTATATCATTTTTTTTTTTTCGACACGAGCTGATGTGATTCTTATAATTTTTGTTATAATTTTTTCAACAAGTAATTATACTCATATGTTGGAATATGTTAATTCTCTATTTTGAGAATTACGACTAACAAAGTTTGCTAAAACATACCTATTTTTATGTTGCAAAAAAATATACCAACGTATTGTTTTGATAACAATATTAAAGCACATTTAGAAGTGTTTATAAATAGATAAAAATAAGTGGTGAATAGATAGATAATACTTGTGAATCCCTAAAAATATATGAATAAAAGTGACTTAAATATTTATAAATAATTTATAAAAATGATCCAAACATGG